GACTGGATTAAGAAAATGTGGCACATATACACCATGGAATACTATGCAGCCATAAAAAAGGATGAGTTTGTGTCCTTTGTAGGGACATGGATGCAGCTGGAAACCATCATTCTTAGCAAACTATCACAAGAACAGAAAACCAAACACTGCATGTTCTCACTCATAGGTGGGAACTGAACAATGAGATCACTTGGACTCGGGAAGGGGAACATCACACACCGGGGCCTATCATGGGAGGGGGGAGGGGGGAGGGATTGCACTGGGAGTTATACCTGATGTAAATGACGAGTTAATGGGTGCTGACGAGTTGATGGGTGCAGCACACCAACATGGCACAAGTATACATATGTAACAAACCTGCATGTTATGCACATGTACCCTAGAACTTAAAGTATAATAATAATTTTTAAAAAAATACAGTATTTGAAACATGTATTTCTAGCAGTTTTCCCATGTATTTTATGGTATTATTCAACACACAAACAATATATGGCCTATCTTATATTCATAACTTATTTGGTTTCTTTTGAAATAGTCTTGAACACAAAAATTGTAAGTACAACTTGCAAATAATAAAGTAAGTTATGAAATAATCAAAATTTGGTTTATTTTGAAACAATCTTGAATACAAAAGTTGCAAGTACGGTACAAATAACTTTTTTCTTCCTGAATCATTTAAGAGTATTTTGCTGATACGATGCCTCATCACTCCTGTATTCTTTAGTGTGTATTTCTTCTCGAAAGAACATTTGCCCACTATAACCACAATAAAACCTTCAGAATCATGAAGTTAACATTATTATATTACTATCACCTAATCTTCAGAACCCATTACAATTTTATCAGATCTTAAAATAATGTTTTTTAAAATGACAAAAGATCAAACTCAGTTTCACGTAACACATTTCTTTTTTTGTATTTTTAGTTTCTTTGAGTATCAAAGAGTTCCTGTCTTTTCTTGACTTCATGACATCAACATTCAACAAAATTATAAGCCAGTTATTTGGGGCTTTGTCTGATGTTTTCACATAATTATATTCAGGTTTTGTATCTTTGGCAGGAGAATCACAGAAAAGTGCAGTTTTGCTCTTGCTGCATTCTGTTAGGTGACACATGAATTCAATTTGTTCTATTATCAGTGATTATCTTTGATAATCTCTGCATGAAGATGGAGGCAGACATCAGAGTGACGAAGCTACTGTCAAAAGAACCCCAAGGATTACCGGCAACAATGGAAGCCAAAGAGAGGCAGAGAGCATATTCTCCCTCTGGAACAGAGGTTCCAGAAGGCACTGATCCGTTGACAATTTAAGTTCAGACTTCTAGCCTCCTGAACTGTAAGAGAAAAAGTTTCTGTTGTTTTAAGACCCCAGGTTTGTCATTTTTCACTATGACAGCCCTAGGAAATGAATACAGAAGCAAAGAGGTTAGGAAAAGGGAAAAGAGGAAGCTGATGTAATTATTATAACTACTAAATATTTCTGTTGTTTCCATTGTTATTTTTTAAACAGCTTAATTGAAGTATAATTTGCATACAACAAGATTCACTCATTTTCAGTATGTAGTTCAGTGAGTTTTGGCAAATGTGTGCAGTTACGTAACCATACACAATCAAATGATACAGCACCATATTGTCCCATGTGCATATAGAAAGTTAATTAAAACTAGTTAAAATTAAAAATTCATTTCCTTATTTTAACTAGTTACATGTCAAATGCTCAATAGCCATTATGTGACTAGTGGTTTCCAGATAGGACAGAGAAGATTATGGAATATGTACACAAAATATTCTATTGGACAGTGCTGATACAGAATATTTTCATCAACCCTCAAACATTCTACTGTTCCCTTTTGCATTCAATTCCCTACCTTCACCCCTAGCCTCAGTCAATCACTGATCTTCATTCTGTCACTATATTTTGGCCTTCTCTGGAATTACACACAAACAAACTCATACCTCAGGTACTCCTTTATGTCTGGCTTCTTATGATGAGCATGATATCATGGAGATTCTCCATGTTGTTCTGTATTTTAGTAGTCTGTTTCTGTTTTTTTGTTGGGTAGTGTTCCACTGAATGGATATACCACAATTTATTTATCTATTCATTAGATTTAAAATATTTGTACTATTTCTAGGTTTGACTTTTAAGACAAATGCTGATACAAATATTTACTTGTCAGTTTTGGAGTGGTATATGTTACATTCATTTTAGATTGCTCTATAACAAATTACCACAAATGTATAAGTTGTAAAAGCACCCAATTATTATTTCACAATTTCTCTGGGTCAGGAATCCAGGCACAACTTAGCTGGGGGTCCCCTGCTATGCTATAATCAAGGTGTTAGGCAAAACTGGGTACTCATTACTAGGCCCAACTAGGGAAGAATCTGTTTCCAAGCTTACTCAAGGAGTAGCAGTATTTCTTTGCAGTTTTGAAATAGAGGGCCCTGACCTCTTGCTGTTCAATAACAAAAGGCTGCCTTTGGATCCCAAGAAGCGGAACCTGAAGTTCCTTGCTACATAATATGCCTCTCTAAAATGGCGATTTACTTCATCATGCCAGCAAGGAGAGTCTCTAGCATGAGTCGGGTAGAAATAGGGTGGAGCTTTAGATAATGTTAAGCAATCACAAGTGATTGACATCCTGTCACCTTTGCTGTGTTCTATTAGTTAGAAGCCAGTCATGGGGTCTGCCTTCACTCAAGGAAAGAGAGTTCTATAAATGCATGAATTCCAGTGGTGAAGTTCATGGAGCAGACACTGTGGCTTCTGTCTGCCACATGTGTTTTCATTTTTCTTAATACCTATAAGTGCAATTACTGGGTCACATGGCGAGTATATGTATAATTTTGTAAGAAAGCGCCAAATTGTTTTCCAAGACAGCCATATTATTTTGCATTCTTGTGAGCAAGGTTCTATTGCTTTTAATTTATATTTTTTGTTTGTTTTTGTTGTTTGAGATGGAATCTTGCTCTTTCGCTCAGGCTCGAGTACAGTGGTGTGATCTCAGCTCACTGCAACCTCCATGTCCTGTGTTCAAGCCATTCTCCTGCCTCAGTCTCCCAAGTAACTGAGATTACACACGTGCACCACCATGCCCAGCTAATTTTTGTATTTTTAGTAGTGCCGGGGTTTCGCTATGTTGGCCAGGCTGGTCCTGACCTCAGGTGATCTGCCCGCCTTGGCGTCCCAAATTGCTGGGATTACAGGCATGAGCCACCGTGCCTGGCCCTATATGTATTTTTTAAAGCAATAAATACATTTTGCTAACCCAGAGAATCTTCCTCTCTTAAAAGAGTAATTTACTCTGTTTGAGTCCTTATATTTTTTCACAAATAAAAAGATGAAAATCAATTTGGGTAGAGAGGTGGAGGCAAAGCCATGTAGGGCTAAGTTCATAAGGGAACACAGGAGACAGAAATGTTAGTAGCAAAAACAGACACCACTCTGAGGATTTTGCATAAGAAAGCAGAAAAATGGTGCTGTGACAGGGGTCACATTTTGTTATGTTCAGTAGACGGGAGATTTTATAACATATTTGTCCACTGATATGAATAATCTAGTAAAGAGAAGAAGGTGAGGGGGAGATGATCATGCAGGAAGAAGAGTTCATGCATTGCCACAGGAAGAAATGCAATGTATGTACCTTCAAATGCAGATAGCTTAGCAGAGTTTTGTGGTGGAAAGATGTGTGCACACAGCTAGTGTGTGGCCGAGCCAGGATGCAGATGCAGGCCCTCTAACTCCTGAGTCCACGCTCCAAACCACTTCACTGTTTTGCCAACTATACATTTCCGCAGCTATACATCTCTTAACTTAAATTGTTAAATAACAGAAACACTGCAATACAACAAATTAATTCTGCCAAAGGCTTTGTTTCCTTTAATAGGAAAAACAGACTTTAAGAACAATAGACTCAATTCTTTTACTTTTCAATCTTTTGGGTGAATTCAATTTTATGAACTGTGAGGGTATTTTTATGTTTTTAAAAAAGCCTCTTGACAATCCTTCCCCTGCAAACTTCTACCCTATTTGTCCTCCTCCATCAAAGACATATTTTTTGCAATTGTATTTAACAGTCATGGCCTCACTTTTCGTTCACTCATCAGTTCACTGCATTATGGATTTATGGGCTTAGAATCCACCTCTCCTCTTATACTCATCTCTAAAACATTACTGAGATTTTGAAAAGGTCAGCCCTCTTGGGTTCATCCTGTTTAACCTCTCTTCAGTTCTTAACTTTGTTGAAAATATGTTCTTTCTGAAGATACCTTTTTATCTTAGATTATTTCGTACAACTTATTCTTGCTTCTGTTTCCAATTTCTTCTTGATAAATTAAAGATTTGTACATCACGGGCTTTTTGTACTTAGCCCTAGAGATTTAAAGGTCACATACACACCAAAACTTCTAACTCCACAACTCCAATGTCAGCATTTCCTCTGGTATAGTCACATAGATCAAACTGCTTAATCTTTTAGCTGGTTCTCAGAAGACCTCAAAGTTTACATGTGAAAATCTAAATCACTATCTCCCATCTTCAACAACAAAAGGTATACAGCCACAGCCTGTACCCAGACCCTCATGACTGCTGGCATTTGTGCAATAATATCCTGTATTCACTGCTTTAACACTTTTCCTATAAAAACAAAAAATGCAAATTTACTACATTGAAAATTTCATTGACAAATTGAGTGATATAGCATTGAGTGACATTAAAGTTATTGTCAAAATGTGGTAGAATTTTACTAATTCTGGTTGATTGGATAGAAATGAAATATCCACTCGGTGGGCCATTCATATTTTATATCTAGAATAGAGAAAACCTGGCCATATAAATGTACTTTTCATCATCTCTGGGCCACTGTCTGACTCTGAAATAAGAAAAAGAAAAAAGGACTGTTCAAAATAGAAAACTTGGCAGCCTTGCTTCTATTGCATGATGAAGGTTTTTGTGGGTAGTTAGAGGGCTGTTCATCATCTGTGCATCTCTCATTCTTTCCAGAAAACGAGTGTGCAAGAAGTATGTTGTAACTGAAGTGGCGTACTGCCTGCCACCCAAGAGGTTGCTCTGTAAGTGGTGAGTTTTGAGGAAATAAGACTTTCATCTATTGTATCTTTCGTGGTGTCACAGCACTAGGAAACGTGTACAAAATGATTTCAAGTAGTAAATGAAAGCTTTCCAGACATTAGGAATTAAAATAGAAACTATTTACATGTATGCCTTTTTATATCTAAAAGAGGGATCCAGAGAGCACCACCTTGGCAGTAAGGAAAATCCAAAGACACAACAGAAAAAGATAAAGAGCAAAGAAAAATGCTCCCAAACAAAGAAGTTAAAATATCATCAAACTTCAGATAAAATGCAATCCCCAGGAAATAATTATCTTAGGATTCAAAAGAAAACTTGGAAAAGTTGTTGATTGTTACCAATGAAAACAATGAAGCTTCTTATTAAATAGTGGCAGAAATTCTCAAGGCTGAGAAAAATGGAAAAGAGCATGAGAAATAAAGTTATGCAAGGGAAATAAAGAAGAATAACAATAAAGAAAAAATAAAGAAGAAGGACAAGGAAAACAAAACCATAATGACAGAATTTTAAAATCTGTATCAGAGACATACAAATTAAAATTGACATGGAGAGTAACAGGATGAGATCTGAGGAGCTGTTCCAGAATGTAGAAAAGTTCAAAAGATAAAATTTATGATCTGGCTGGACACAGTGGCTCACGCCTGTAATCCCAGCATTTTGGGAGGCCCAGGCAGTGGATTACATGAGGCCACGAGTTCGAGACCAGCCTGGCCAACATGGTGAAACCCCATTTCTACTAAAAATACAAAAATTACCCAGGTGTGGTGGTGCACATCTGTAACCTCAGCTACTCAGGAGACTGAGGCATTAGAATCACTTGAACCCAGGAGGTGGAAGTTGCAGTGAACTCAGATGTTGCCACTGCACTACAGCCTTAGTGACAGAGTGAGACTCTGTCTAAAAAAAAAGAGAGGTAAAACATAAGATATGAGAAAAACAGACAATGAAAATTCAACTTAAGCATTATAGATTGGTTTAAAGAAGACTTTCTGAGCAATAGGAAAAGAACAATAAAAGATAATTCAAATACATTTTTCTGAAGCAAAAATATATCAAAAATATTGAGAACATTCGAGACAATCTCATCAAAAGCATCCTGGCCCATCTTATACAAAACGTTAAATTCTAAAGTTAAATAAAATCAGAAGTATCCATCAAACACATATCTTTTCCCCAAATACATATCTTAAGTCAATGGAGATGCATGTAAATACATCTTAATGTGTGTATTTTTAAATTTATATCTTAAGAATTTTATGTGTACTAAGCTGTCTTTTATAAGTAAAGAAAACAGATACCCTTGATATGTAGAGACTGTGAAAGTATACCACCTACATGCTATTTTTAAAAGATTTTTTAAGACTTGCCTTCAAAACATGGTTCCAGTCATATAACACAAAAATAGCTTAAAAAGTGGATACGTCAATTTAAAAAATATTTTGTATTGAGACTATTGCTGGAAAAGGTAACAGCAAAATCATCTAGCTAGCTAGCTGGATGGATAATAAACAAAGAACAATAAGCAGACAGTACTAGGAAAGTCTGAAAAGTATAAAGCATGAGCAAAACAAAAGAAGAGACATTAGATATAATTTTTGTAGCCCTTTTTCTCTACCTCTTTACTGCCCTTAAAAGGTCTGTATAAGAAACCCAGAGAGCTTGTGGTGCTCCTGTCAATAGTCTCTCTCTTTTCCCAATACTACCAGATCCCCATTGCAAACTTGCTGAAGTATCAACCCTGTAAGTTTATAATTTGTATTTATATTCACATTCCCTATAGAAACTACCAAGACTAACAATAATCACTCCTTATATTCCTATTCTCCTTAGCCACCACATGCAACACAAGCTTTCCAGGTTATCCCCATGTTAGAAAAGGCATACCTGTGAAGGCAAAATGTTGACCTCATAAGCTCCAAGGAGGTTCAATCCTGCCATTGCCATTGTATCTAGTGGTTCTTGACCTTATTAGGCCCAATGTCCTGCTCATATAACAAATATTTTGTAGTGCTTTACTTTCCTAAAATAAAACTTATGGACAATATAATGAATATGCATGCATAATTTTTAAAATTGTAAAGAATAATAAAATAGAAAAATATAGAAGCAATTATTTATTACAAAATGATACGTGTGTGTGTTAGTGTTCAGCCATGACAACACAAGAAGAGAAAACAAAGCAGTTAGATTCTTTTTTTTTTTTTTTTTGAGACGGAGTCTCGCTGTGTCTCCCAGGCTGGAGTGCAGTGGCGCGATCTCGGCTCACTGCAAGCTCCGCCTCCCGGGTTCACGCCATTCTCCCGCCTCAGCCTCCCAAGTAGCTGAGACTACAGGCGCCTGCCACCTCGCCCGGCTAATTTTTTGTATTTTTAGTAGAGAAGGGGTTTCACCGTGTTAGCCAGGATAGTCTCGATCTCCTGACCTCGTGATCCACCTGCCTCGGCCTCCCAAAGTGCTGGGATTACAGGCTTGAGCCACCGCGCCCGGCCAGCAGTTAGATTCTTATGATACACAAAGTTAACAGAATATGGTGGCTATGAAGGCAAAGTGAGAGAGAAAACATTTCATTAGTGACTCAAATATGGATCGCCCGGCTAATTTTTTTGTAGTTTTAGTAGAGACGGGGTTTCATTGTGTTAGCCAGGATGGTCTCGATCTCCTGACCTCGTGATCCGCCCATCTCGGCCTCCCAAAGTGCTGGGATTACAGGCTTGAGCCACCGCGCCTGGCCTCTTATCTAAGACCACCATAGCAGTACTTCTGAGTCTGCAAGAGCCACAGTGTAACTGGACTTGGAGTGCCCCCTAGTGCGGATATGGCTGCAGTGACCAAAATCTTAGATCACAACACCCAAGTCCCTTCAATTACGGGGAAATCCTTCCCAATAAGGTTGTGTACAAACAAGCCGAGAGTGGAAAGACTACAATAAATACCTAACTTCTCAAGGCCCAGGCACCAATGAACATTTGCTAACATCAAGACCATCCAGGAAAACAAGACCTGACAAAAAAAAAAAAAAAAACCTAAATAAAACACCAGTGACTAGTCCAGGAAAGACAGAGATATGTGACTGTTCAGAAAAAAAATTCAAAATAGCTATTTTCAGGAAACTCAAAAAAATTCAAGATAACATAGTTAGAAAGAAATCAGAATCCTATTGGAAAAGTTTAACAAGAGATTGAAATAATTGAAAAAAATCAAACAGAAATTATGGAGTTGAAAGGTGCAATTGACTTAATAAAGAATAATACGTCAGAGTCTCAACATCAGAACTGATGAAGCAGAGGAAAGAATCAGTGAATTTGAAGACAGGATATTTGAATATACACAGTCAGAGGAGACAAAACAAAAAAATAATAAAGGATGCCAATAAGATACAGAAAACAGACTCAAAAGGACAAATCTAAAGGGTATTCGCCTAAAAGAGGAGGTAGAGAGACAGATGGGATAGAAGTTTATTCAAAGAGATAATAACAGAGAAATTTACAAACCTAAAGAAAGATATTAATATTCTTTCTTTGTACAAGAAGAAAAACCTTCTAATGTACAAGAAGGTTGTAGAACACCAAGTGGATTTAATCCAGATAAGACTACCTCAAGACATTTAATGAACTCTCAAAAGTCAAGGACAAAGAAAGAATCCTAAAAGCAGCAAGAGAAAATAAACAAATAATACCAAATGGAGCTCCAATATGTCTGACAGTAGACTTCTCAGCAGAAACCTTACAGGCCAGGAGAGAGTGGCATGACATGTTTAAAGTGCTGAAGGAAAAAACAAAACAAAACAAAACAAAAAAAAAAACCCTTTATCCTAGAATAGCATATCCGGCAAAAATATCCTTCAAACATAAAGAAAAAAATAAATATTTTTCTAGACAAACAGAAGCTGAGGGATTTTATCAAAACCAGAACTGTCCTACAAGAAATGCTAAAGGAATCTCTTCAATCTGAAAGCACAGGATGTTAATAAGCAATTACAACTCATCAGAAAGTACAGTACTCCCTGGTAAGAGCAAGTACACAGAAAAACACAGAATATGATAACACCGTAATTGTGGTTTGTGAACTACTCATATATTTTGAGTAGAAAGACTGAAAGGTGAACCGATAAAAATAATGACTACAACAAATTTTCAAGATACAGAGAGTATGATAATGTATAAATAGAAAAAAAGTTAAAAAGCAGGGGAACAAATTTAAACTATAAAAATTTTATTAGTTTTCTCTGCTTGTTTGTTTATGCAATCAATGCTACGTTGTCATCAGCTTAAACTAATGGGTTGTAAGATATTGTTTGCAAGCCTCATGGAAATCTCAAATCAAAATAACCTACAACAGATACAGAGAAAATAAAAAGTAAGAAATGGGAACATACCACAAGAGAAAATCACTTTCTCTGAAAGGAAGACAGGAAGGAAGAAAAGAAAGAAGAAAAGACCACAAAACAACCAGAAAACAAATAACAAAATGGCTGGAGTAAGTCCTTACTTATCAGTAATAACACTGAATGTAAATGAACTGAATATTCCATTGAAAAGACAGAGTGACTGAATAATTAAAGTTATAAAACCCGGCTGGGCATGGTGGCTCATGCCTGGAATCCCAGCACTTTGGGAGGACGAGGCGGGCAGATCACAAGGTCAGGAGATTGAGACCATCTTTCCTAGCATGGGGAAACCGTGTCTCTACTAAAAATACAAAAAAATTAGCCAGGTGTGTGCACCTGTAGTCCCAGCTACTCAGGAGGCTGAGGCAGGAGAATGGCATGAACCCAGGCAGTGGAGCTTGCAGTGAGCCGAGATGGCACCACTGCACTCCAGCCTGGGTGACAGAGTGAGACTCCATGTCAAAAAAAAAAAAAAAAAAAAAAAAAAAAATTACAAGACCCAGGGATTTGTTGCCTACGAGAAAAACACTTCACCTACGAAGAAAGACATAGATGCAGGAATAGCTATATTTATTTCAGCCAAAATAGATTTCAAAACAAA